ACGGTACCCAAACGTCTCACACTCAAGTTTATTAAACGTACGATACAAATAATACCAGGTCTATCACTCATTCATGTGCAGTCTTTGTTTATTAGACAGGATAAGGAACACCAACAGGAAACACAACATACAGAAATAAACTAACAATAAATCTATGTCAATCACCTTTGTTTATTTTGGAATACTGGCACAGGAAAACAACACACACTCAATGTCTCAGAAAAGCAGGGCGGCTTCAATTAGAGTATTTTCAAGGAACCAAATGTTTCTAATTTTGAAATGATACATTGTATCAAAGTAGGGGTGCGGCTTCAAATAGACATGCGGCCTCAATTAGATATTTTACGGTACATTTGCATTTAAATCAAGTGCAATTGACACAGAAGAGCATGAATTAATTATTTTGAAATGAATACAAATTATGATGTATTGTAGTTTCATTTTAATGAATTACAGATTATGTTGCTTTGAAGGTGCTTTAATTTCTGAATACATTGTATTGAAAAGTGAGGCATTGAAGTTTCTTTATATTACTGTGTGTGTTGACATTCCTCTCTATTCCTTGCAGATAAACTGTGTGATCAAGTCAGTGATGCCGTGTTGGATGCACATTTAGCCCAGGATCCTAATGCCAAAGTAGCATGCGGTAAGTAGCATCCTCTTTATTTTTTTACTGGAAAAGTTGCCAGTCCCTCTTTATTTATTATTTCCATGCAGAAAATTGCTAGGGCAACTGATTTTGATTGAAGGAAATTGCATCAAATGTCTATTCAATTTAGCTACTGCCACATGAAATATATTAACTTCGGTTTATACACAATGGCGGAGAGTTCTTGGCATTATAACAACTCAACTAGTGTCCCTGAAATAATTTGTATTTCAGTCAATCTATTATACTTATGTCAGTTCAGTTAAATATGGAATGTCGAGGGAAGTTTCCAACATTCCTAGCTTAGCATGCATCTTTGATCGTGAAATTTATTCACACTTTGCATGCAAGGCCATAGTTCTAAACACTTCAACTGGTATAGGACACAACTTTATTTTTAACTGGCTACATGCGATTATTTAAACCTTAATGCAGCTTTGTTTAAAAATGTGTACATTCGTTTAATGTGAGGGTAAGATTCTTAATTTGTCCTTGAGTACTCTAATGTTTGGCAGTATATGCAAGGCAGTTCTACCACTAGAATATTTTGTATTGGGACTACTGGACAGATCTGAGTTATTGTTTTCAGAATCCTGTTCGAAGACTGGTATGGTGCTGATATGCGGTGAAATCACGTCCAATGCAGTTGTTGACTACCAGAAGGTTATCCGTGAAACAATAAAAAAAATTGGTTATGACGATTGCAAGAAAGGTGAGATTCAATATTCAATATCCTGATCTACTTTGTGTCTAGAATTATATATGGACAGAATTTATGAAGGTTTATTTTGTGAAATCTAACAGAAGTTGACATGGGTGTGGATCATACATTCCTTAGTGTGAACAATTTGTCCTTTTTCTGCAAATTAACATTCTGAGATCAATCATTAAACTGTATTGGGCTCGAATGACTCTCCATGTATTTAGTGTGTGCTCAAATTGATGTAAACATTCAATTTTCAACTGATTTCAGACTGAATTGACTTCTCATTTTATTAGTTTGCTTGAATTATATTTGCTAATATTTTTGATTTGTGTTCCACTGTGCATGAAAGATTCAGTAGAATGAGAAGGAGAAACATTTCCTAATATCCCTGCATATTCTTGCATCAAAAATGTCTCTATGGTCTATAAAATACATAATGGCCACTTATGAATATTCATGACCAACTTTTAAATTATTACTTCTGTTCTACAATGCAGTCATATTTTATATAATAAAGTTCTAAAACAATTTAATCTCAATTAGTGACCATACTAAGAACACTAGAAATTCATAGTATTTAGTATACCAATTACCATAGAAGATATTGAGTTGTTTTTCTATTTTTTCAAAGGTTTTGACTACAAGACTTGCAATGTGCTAGTCGCCATTGAACAACAAGCACCAGAGATTGCTGCTGGTGTTCATGAGAACAGGAAAGAAGAGGATGTTGGCGCCGGTGATCAAGGTCTTATGTTTGGTTATGCTACTGATGAAACAGAAGAATGTATGCCCCTCACAGTCGTTCTCTCGCATGCACTTAATAAAAAACTTGCTGAAAATAGACGAAATGGAACTATGCCATATTTAAGACCTGACTCTAAAACTCAGGTAACTCTACTTTTTTCTAGGTTTAAATATAGCTGATTACATGTACAGGTTTAAATTATGTTTGTGAGGAAAAACAATACATTTTGTGGTTAACTTTCATGTTCATAATTGGCGTTTAAATGAAAATAAAGCCTATTAATAATTTAATTATTCTAAATGTGTATTGCACATTTTGGTAGTCGTGAGCGCCTGACGTGCGTGCTAGCTAGTCATTTTCTGATTGCCTGTTGCCAGAGACCTATACCAATCAGTCTTACAAAGCAGAAGTTGTTAGAAATATCATGCATTTCTATTTTATATGCTTGAATCGGTTTACAGAAACTTTAAAATATTGTATCTTCATGCATCAATGACGCCAATTTAATATACTTTTGTTTTTGCAGGTTACAGTTGAATACAATTTTCTAAATGGTGCTTGTATACCACTTCGCGTGCACACAGTGGTTATATCAACGCAGCACGATGAATTTGTAACTAATGCCGAACTCCGCAAAGATTTACGTGAAAAAGTCATCAAGGAAGTGATTCCTGAAAACCTGCTCGATGAGAATACAATATATCATTTGAATCCATCGGGAAGCTTCATCATGGGTGGCCCTATGGTAAGAAATCTTGTTTGTCAAATGTGCATGTTAAGACTTGTAGCATCAATTTACTATAATTTTCATCCCTGAATGTCTGTAGTGTTAGACTACACTCCGATCTGGGGTGATTTATTGAAAAAAGTATGACCTTATCGGGAAATGTTCTATTAGTTTTTCAAAGTATTCAGACAGGTGGAAGTTTTGCCCAAGCCTATTTGAAGTGATAGCTGTTTGGCACATTTGTGACTCGAAACAAATTTGCATTGCAAGAGTTTCCAACTACACTGTATTGTGTACAAAATTACACAAGATACAACATGACAGATTTTGTTCTTTCTTAAAGGGTGATGCTGGTTTGACTGGAAGAAAGATTATCGTAGATACATATGGTGGTTGGGGAGCACATGGAGGTGGTGCATTTTCTGGGAAAGATTACACTAAAGTTGACAGGTCTGCTGCATATGCAGCTCGATGGGTTGCCAAGTCGCTTGTCAAGGCAGGACTGTGCAAACGTGTCCTTGTACAGGTAAGTACTAGCAAAATGTGCCGATAATTTGAAGTTTTGTCTTTGCCACAATTTTAAATATTCTGGTTTATATTTTTGTGCTCTGCTGTCGACTAATCATACGAGTTATTGTCCGTCGGCATCCATCTTGAAAACTACAAGCCTGATTGCTTTGATACCTCGTGTATATGTTCCTTGGACAGACCTCAGATTAGTTCACTTCATCTTGATATCTTCAATTCTTCACAGCGGAACTGAGAAGCTGCTTGTTTAGCAATTCAAACTCTCATCCATGCCAGGATGAAATAAATTCTGATTTAATTGCAACAATTTCCAGAAATGGATCATATTTTCAATTGATCGAGTCGGTACACGCTTATAATCTTTGATATTTCTTATTGTATTTAGGTTGCCTATGCCATTGGCATTGCCGAGCCATTGTCAATTTCCGTTTTTCATTACGGAACATCTGATCGGTCAGAGGCTGAACTTCTGAAGATTGTGAAGGATAACTTTGACCTCAGACCAGGCATAATTGTCAGGTAAGGGTTAGTCATTGGATAGACATTAATAAATCAGACCAGTCGCTGGTAGCATGGTAGTTGTGGCATCAGACTTCTATTACATAGATAGACCCAAGTTCAAATCCTGCCTTGGGCTGAAAACTAAAATAAGTCAACTCCTACCCTGGGTGAATGTCAGACTTGATGGGAAGGCCAATTCCACTGGTCAAAATTCATTTACTAATAATGAGACTTCGAGGGAAACCTTGTTTATGAATTATATGTGCTTGTGTTTGACAGAGTTTGGTTGACGCCAGAATAGCGCATTAAATTGCTATTTGATAGAAAGTCCCAAACATATGGCAAAAATGCAGTGTCGGCACTTGCAATTTGCACATACAAAAGTCAGGAGAGACAACAGCGAGATTCAAAGTCTGAAACTGTAGTCTTGCACAAACAATTAAAAAAATATTAATATATCAACCAGCTTTAGCATTACAATTGTCTTGTAAAAATATAATGAAGTGAAGCAATAAATGTAGTGATTGCAATGAATTGATGGGAGGGAGGGAGTACTATCTGTGAGCTACGTTTACATAGTGTCTCTATGGTTTGAATTCTGTGCTAACAATATGTCTTGTTTTCCTCCAGGGAGCTGGACTTGAAGAGGCCAATTTACCAAAATACCAGTTCATATGGTCATTTTGGACGCCCAGAATTTCCTTGGGAAAAACCCAAGAAATTGACTTTTTAAATACGGTACTGTTGCGTGTACAATATTGGCGGTATGAACGATTGAGATCCTGCAGGCATAAGGCTATCATATTTCATAAAAAAGCATGACTATATGATACAACAAACACTTCTTGAATAATATTTGGTATTGAATGTTATGTATTCAAATTTGTTTATTTTAAGTAAAATTTGTGATGAATTTTAGATTAGAATAGCATTGTTGATGGGAGGGAGGAGATCCAGCAATGTGCCTTGGTATTCAAAGACATTTTCATACCCTAATTTGTAATATAAGTATGTAAGACAGGGTTTGTTATGTGGAGCCAGCCACTGTACAAAGTTAGGTTTATTCTTGCCTCTATTTTAAGAGGTAGAATGTCTCAAACTGACTGTCATGTAGTTGATGTTATAGAATTTGTAACAAATAAGTGGAATCAATTTTATGCACGATTTTGGTCGTATTTTATTGGTGTATTTACATACACTATTAATCACAATGGAAATGCAAATATTTTGAGTAGTAATTGAAAATGTTGGGGGGGGGTTAAATTCAGACTAAGTTAAGTTTTATTTTTAAGGACACTTATCATACTGTATATTTGTGCTAAGTTATACAAGTGACCAAATTCTCGTATACAAAATCTGAAATACAGACATTGTATTCCTGTATATTTTAATGCACATCGGTTCATGTATACTTCCTGTTAATAAGTATTCTGAATGCAATATTTATCCATATGTCAACAACTTCTACACTATGTGCAGTCTCTGAGATTCCTTCTTTTCAGATTGGTTGATCCAAATACTATTAACCACTATTGCTTGTGGGTGGTTTAAACACTTAAAATGGGGAGGGGAGGGGAGGGAAATGTACACATGGATGGAATGATTTTTGGGGAAAGGGATTAGTGGTTGTATGAAACGACATAAACTTGTATGAAGAATTGTTGGGAATAAAAAAAGTGTGAAAGCATCTCTTTGCCCATCTTGTTTTTTTCCCCCCCAATGCTTCTTTGAATATATAAATATTTTGTAGGCTTTTGATGCAACAATTTTTGTTAATGTTTGACAGATTAGTGGCCAATTAGAGTTCTGTTGAAATCAAAGATATTAAATTGCAGTTAAGTGGCAATTTCATTCACACTTGCTGATAATTCTTGGATTACTCAAACTAAAAAGTTGCTAGCTGTCAGTTTCCAGCAGTATCGTGTACATGCCAAGGTTGATAAAGATCAAACTTCAACTGTGCATTTCATACATCTTGAAACAAGTACTTGTGTCATTTGATTCAAGATTGCCAAATGGCGGCCATTTCAATATTGAAAACGGGAATCTAACATTGGCTATGTGTGAATTGATTATTCAAACAGTCCCTGTCAGCACTTGTATCTTAGTCCTGCATGGACAGATTTCACATGCATGTCTTGTGCACTTACTTCATGATTCAATCCAAGATGGCCAAATGGCAGCCATTTGACTAAAAATACATCAAAACAGGGCCATTCTGTATCATGGTCAAGCATGGAATATTTCATTCAAACTTGAACGTAAACATCCTTAATGCTTGTCCACCCAGATTTGGTTTAAAATTTGTATTTGTTGGAATAAATGCATTTCTGACAGTCCAGTACTGATCATATTTATGTTTTACAGATCCATTACCCATCACGTCAGATTTGTGCACATTAATTTGTTGGATGAATCACAGTCCCTCTATCCCTGTGGGACTGTGGATGAATGATACAATTCAAGATGGCCAAATGGTGGCCATTTTCATGGAAAACATCAAATCAAAATCAAACATATCTGCAATATACAATTTTCGTTTACAATATACGTTTTGTATATACATGTAGA